CTCATAAGTGTAGAATTTTACGAAGAAAGATCATACTGTTTACTAAGAGTAATAAAGGTTTACTTTAATTTTACCAAAGGCAATTTGCTGATAAGTGATTCGAACTCACTTTGATAATTTTGGAAACCATCTTCAGATATTTGGTTCTGCGCTTCAATCACACTAGAACTAGATTCAACGGTCTCACCTTGATTGGCCAATTTTTTTTACAGGGATTCATGAAGCGTTTTCAATGCATCTGCTGCAGAAACAGACTGCAGAGATTCATGCAATTTCTGGAACTTATTTCTGTTTTCCTTGGTTATTACAACCTTTCTTGCAATTCAGGGGGGAGGCAAGCCAAAGTACTTCATCAAAGAGGGGAAAAAAATCTATAAGAGATTAAGAGTTAGCAATAAGAATGCTTATTGGTATTTGGTCACACATTCAACAGGTGAAAAGGAACTCTTATACTAACCCAATTACACCTTTGACAACACCCCAATTGTATCCAGCATATACTGATTCCACAAAACTAGCATTAAACCCTTCTTGTGCAGAAGATTCTTTTCCTATTATAAGACCGCCACGATATACAATCTAATAATTCATCAAGATTTAACAATTACTTTGTGGCATGCATAGCTTACACAAACAGAGAAAACAAATTTATTCTGTTATATCTAAAAGCACCCACAACTTAATATGATACTGTATGGAATTGGTCATGCCTCCTTTGCAACTCCCTGTCCAAATCAGATGACCTGTCTGCTGCCTTTGAAGGAACACCACATGATGAATCACCATCATCATACCATAAGTCATCCTCATCATCAACTGACATCAACAAAGAGTCAGGAGATTTATGAATTGAACTTGTAATCAATCATTCAGTAGTCAAATTCAATGTCTTTAAGTGATGTAAACGAAGCTGCATTATAGTGAAGTAAATCTATTGTCAAGAGCCAATGATATATTGATATTTTATAGTCAGGTTACTAGTTTTAGTATATGTTGTGTGTGTGTCTGGGTGTGTGTGTAAAAGAGGGACAAAGAGCACATATTAAACCAAATGGTAAACTATGAACCTTTTTTCACCAGGATATATGAGCCCCAATGAAATATTTGCTTGTAAAGAACTGAACATTACTAACTTCATGAACAATTACTTTTAAGACAACATTTGTCCTGGGTAAGTTATACCCTTTAATCCAACTATTCAATCTCCATTTTCCATCTTAGGTAACATGAATTATCCTATTGAGAATTAAAGTGAGTACTTTGCATTTCGTATTCATGAATGTTAAGTGAAATCTCAACCTTAATGTATGTTATAAGGTTATTCCAATAATTCTTAGTTGATGCATACACAATTGTTGAGTCCGGCATACTTATATATATAAGGACCAACCATAAAACATTGAGATGTGAAGCCTACAAAGGTTTATCGGATGTTTTGACGCGTGGAGAAGTTGAACCTAGCACACAAGGAATACGAATAATCTTACAATCAAGTTTGACCGGTGGAACAAGGTATATGATACAAACTATCAGGGATGCAATGGTCATTTGTCAGTGGAGAGGTTATCTACACCTTTTTATTACATTTATGTGTAATCCAAAGTGGTATGAGATTCAGTATTACCTTGAGAAGTGGAACCTTAAAGCTAAAGATTGTCCTGACATTGTGTGTCTGATATTCAAGATGATGTTGGATTGTTTAATCAAGGAGCTAAAATATGTAAAGCTATTTGGAGCAATTACGACATGTTAATAAGTCCTAACAGTTATCTAATATTCTCTCATATTAATTGACTAGTATTTTTTATGCGCGATACGCAAAAAATAGGTGCCCAATATTAATACATTATATTAAAATTTTAAATTATTTAGATTTTAGATATTTAAATTATTCTAAATAAAATAATAATAATGTAAATCATTTTTATAAATTTGATATTTATATTTATGTAATAATTAACATATAACTCAAATATTTAATGTATATATATATATATATATATATATATATATATATATTATTATTATTATTATTATTAAGAGTTAATACCCAAAATCGTCCTCGACTATAGTGGTTTTTCTCAATTTCGTCCTAAACGACTTTGGTGACCTAATATCGTCCCAGACTTTTGTGTTTCGCTCAATTTAGTCCTCCATTTGTTATTCCGTCAAATTGGTGTTAAATAAAGGGGCAATTCAGTAATGTCAATATTAATCTCTCTTTACTTTCAACTTGTGAAGTGCGAAATTCCTCTTTCTTGTACGAATTACACCCAGAATTACTCATGGACCTGCAAATCAAATTTTATATTCGCAGTTTTAGGAGTAATTCTGGGAGTAATTCGTAAAAAAAAAAGGACTTCGCAATTCACATGTCTATGAGTAAAGAGATGTCAATATTAAAATTACTGAATTGTCTATTTATTTAACACCAAATGGACAAAATAACAAATGAGGGACTAAATTGAGCAAAAACACAAAAGTCTGGGACTAAATTGAGCGAAACACAAAAGTCTGGGACGATATTAGGTCACCAAAGTCGTTTAGGACGAAATTGAGAAAAATCAATATAGTTGAGGACGATTTTGGGTATTAACTCTTATTATTAATGAAGAAGATAAGAAATATATGGTGGATGCATGTGCATGATAACAATAATGAAAAAGATAACGGAAGTTATAACGGTAGGGGTATGTTTGTCCAAAATATTTTAATGTACAACCTTTATAGCATAATGTACAAAAAAAAAACATAACGGAAAAAACGGACATAAATCAGGGGTATAACTTTCATTCACACTTATTATGTTTTTAGATATTACTCAATTAACTCATTAAATCATCATTTGCATGTATATGCAGTTATATGCACTATTATTGAGTTCCAGAAGCGTGGGCTACCGCATGCACACATTTTGATCTTCAATAAAAAAAAATTGACACGTCAAATCCAACATTCATGGACTATCATCTTGGCTGAGATCCCGGACAAGCAAGCAGACCATGACAACTATGTTAGGAACATTTGTATTCTAGATTTTGATGATACGAAAAGTAACTCAAGAAGTCACGATTCGAATAGACAAAACAATCCGAATGATAACTCGAATAGGAAGACGCCGAAAATAGAAATAATACAGTGTTATTTTAGTCAAATTTGCCCTGTATTCTATTGATATACCTTGTTTGGTGAGGGAAAAAAAAAAGAAATGAAACTCTTCGGAGTAATCGAATGACCTAGCAGTAGTGGGAAAGACACCCTGATCGTGACCTTTCCATGTCCCCACGATCCCACTAAGAGAGATAAGCCTTTCCAATCTTGGATGCATCATTTGTGTTGTCGCTATATATGTTGTTCGGTCCTCCCATCCTCTTAATAATTTCCGCTGGAGGAGGACAAAGAATATCTATGAGTCAAAATCAGTCAGCTCTACACCTCTACTACATGAATGTATAATGCAAATGAAACTGTAGATACTCAAAATGGTACTTTTTTAGTTCTGCTGTAATGAAACTACAATATATATAAAATGAAAATAAATACATCATAATAACATAATTAGTTGAACGGAATGAGTGTGTCTTTTATTTTCATTAAAAGAAACGGCACCGATTTGGACCATATAGTCCACATTAAAATTTGACCTATTAAAACTAGGAATATCAATTTTTATATATTACATTTTTATTGAAGAATATAAGTCCATTATGGATATTTTTTATTACCTTTTTTTTTTTTAAATTAAGCTATATATAATACTTTTTGCATCATACATGTGGATTGATAATTTTATTGATTTTGACTTGATAAATGCAAAAAGTATTAATATACTAAGAAAATGTTCTTAAAAAAAACTAAGAAAACAATGGCTTTTAAGAGTGGTTGAGCAATATATAATACTCTCCTCTCTTTGCCCCGCATTCCTCTCATCTGAAGTTGTCTTCCACAAGTACACAAAAAAAGGGGTAAGGTGTTTGTTTATCATAATTATATGAACTTTTGACTCCAATTCAATTCAAGATTTGAATAACAATAATATTTTTTTTTTCATATTCCCTTTTTGCAATTCAATTAGCGAGCAGAGCTTCAATCAGCCACGGCGAGGGAAACCCTGGATGTGTCTTCTATGTAATGTAATGTAATGCAATGCAATACATTAATGTCATTAGTTATGCATGCATATATTGTGAGATATCTGGCACGGACACATACACGTATGTTTTCTTTATATACTTTACGTGATATTGTATTACATACGCTTATGAAAAGGTTAATTGCTTATTGGTTTCCATAAATCAATTCCATAAAAATATGGGTGAGGGCAGACTGCTCATCATCATAAAAATCAATTAGATGATGCGTTGATGCATATATAATCACATAAATTAAAGGAGTAGAGGGCTGAATAAATTAAATGAAACCACTTGTTTCGATCTGTTATATATGTATATATGGATACCAAACTCTTTTCTTCGATCATTCTCAGGTTCTACCCTTTGGAATTCTGCCAGTGTCATCCTAGCTAGCTAGCTAAGCTTGCCTGCCTCATACTGTAGGCACATCTAATAAGATCAGGTCAGTACCTGTAGAATCAAGCATGTATCTTCAATTCTTTCCCATCTTCCATGATTTAAAATAGATCTGATCTGTTTTAATTTGTCCATGAATTCAAATATGATTGATGAATACCAGCTTTTAATATAATTTGATTTGATTTGATTATGCATGCGCCCACGCTGCAAATCTAAAAATGCGATGCACATTCTCCGATCCTTTCATTGGAAACTAACCTTTTTATCTTTAATTATTACTCTGCATAATATTTGGTCAAGTACGTTTTAAATTCATTGATGGACGTACAGCTTGAATTACTGCCGCCATATGTTTGTAGTATATATACGTACGTTACATATGCATATATGTAATATTACATGCGGCATGCATATATGTGTATGAGGAATTATATTGTATATATAATTTGATTTGATTTGATGCAGATGAGCTACTTGGCATCAGAAGATGGTTGCCAGCCAGGAGAGAGAGACCTGGCTCCCAAGGGCGCAAACATGTCGTCGACTTCTAATTCAGCAAATTGCCCTAAGAAATCTGACCAAATCGAAAACTTCACCGAGTCACTACTGCACCAACCGTGTGACTCTTCTACTACTGTTACAAAAACTACTACATCTTGTCCTCCTCCTGCAGGAGGTATGAAGACAAGCAGCGATGGCAAAGGGGGTCAATTGCTATCTAATCATGGCCGAGGGAGTGGCAACACCAGTCGAAGTGACAGCTTAGAAAGTTCTACTAGTGCACCCTTGAAGCCCCATACTGGCGGTGACATTCGATGGGATGCTATTAATTCAATTTCTTCAAAAGGCTCCGCTCTCGGGCTCAATCATTTTCGGCTGTTAAAACGACTTGGGTATGGAGACATTGGAAGTGTCTATCTTGTTGAACTCCGACGGACTAACACCTTCTTTGCTATGAAGGTTATGGACAAAGGGTCTCTCGCAAGTAGAAATAAATTAATCAGAGCTCAAACAGAAAGGGAGATTCTTGGTCTACTTGACCACCCATTCTTACCCACCTTATATTCTTACTTTGAGACTGAGAAATTCTATTGCTTGGTCATGGAGTTCTGCAGTGGAGGTAACCTTCACACTCTCAGGCAGAAGCAGCCCAACAAGTATTTTAGCGAGGAGGCTTCCAGGTATATATATTATATTATATTTAATTTAATTTGTTCTTACTTCTTAGGAGATCAGATCGAGTGTAAAAATGATTTAATTTTTCTTTTTTATATAAGGTTGCTGCATATATAATATAAATAAATATAATAATGCAGGTTCTATGCATCAGAGGTGCTGCTGGCACTTGAATATCTGCATATGCTAGGAATCGTTTATAGGGATCTAAAACCAGAAAATGTATTAGTCAGAGATGAGGGTCACATTATGCTGTCTGATTTTGACCTTTCACTTCGTTGCTCTGTGAATCCCACTCTGGTGAAGTCGTCATCTGTGCATGCTGCAAACGGCGGTAGTGCCAGTAGTAGTGGCGGTGGCATTTTGGATGATGAGAATGCTGTGCAGGGGTGTATACAGCCATCCACTTTTTTCCCACGCATCCTTCCCAGCAAAAAGAACCGCAAGTCCAAATCCGATTTTGGGCTATTTGTTGGGGGAGCACTTCCTGAATTTATGGCTGAGCCAACCAACGTACGCTCAATGTCCTTTGTTGGCACTCACGAATACTTAGCTCCAGAGATCATCCGCGGAGAGGGTCATGGGAGTGCAGTGGACTGGTGGACGTTTGGGATATTTTTGTACGAGCTTTTACATGGGACTACTCCTTTTAAGGGATCTGGAAATCGTGCCACTCTATTCAACGTAGTTGGACAACCTTTAAGATTTCCAGAAAGTCCACAAGTAAGTTTTGTGGCGCGAGATCTTATAAGGGGGCTCTTGGTGAAGGAGCCACACAAGAGAATTGCATACAAGAGAGGTGCTACAGAAATAAAACAACATCCCTTTTTTGAGGGTGTGAATTGGGCTTTAGTAAGAAGCGCCCTTCCTCCCTACGTACCCGAACCGGTAGACTTCTCACAATTTGCTACCAAGGAGACAACTCATTCCACAGACAAGAAGATGGCTGAAATCGGAAGCGATACAGACATTAATACTTCTAGTACCACCGATTCTTCTTCATATATTGATTTCGAGTACTTTTAATTATCAAGTCATCGAATCTCCAATAATTTAATTACAACCTACTGCATGCAAGACAAATAATTAATTTGGTTTTGTAAAAAGTGATCAAGAGGCCATCCAGCTATATATACATACATACATACATTTTACTTTCGTTATTTTAATTTTAATTCTTCCCCTCCGAGGGAGTTGTGTGAAACAGTAAATTTATAATGGGAAATACATAATGCAATATCTCTACAAATTCATTTCAGGAAAGGAAACTTATAATTACGTTGCACTTCAATTCTTGCATATGTTTTTTTTTTTCAATTAATAATAATAATTTATATGTATATGTGAATTTTTAGTTATATTATTGAATTGGTTAAAGTCAATATATAATGAATGCTTTGTAATTATTATAATTATAGTTGTATACTTGTATATGTTACAAACGCCACTCTAGAACTATAGTTTTTAAGAGACTCCTTTAGTACTAGGTAAACAATTAAAAATTATTTGTATTTTTTTTCATAATAGAGTTTCAAAATAATTTAAGATCTAATTAATTCTAATCTTTTTTTCTTTGAATGCTATTGGCCCTATTACATTGTAGTATCTGTTCATATACTTTCAACACAAAGAGTCACTGAGACTCAAACTCACAACCTTCCAAATGGAAGTCCAACCCAGAATACAGAATCTATATATTCCACATAGACCACATAGTCCTGGTAATTAATTCTAATCTATATATTCTAAAATTTAACTATTTGAATACAGAAGTTAGTACTGTTTAAAAATATGCAGACATTTCGTGCTTGCTAATATTGAAGGAAACAAAGTAAGTTGAAAAGTCACAATTACCATTTCACAAGAAAGCACGTTAAACAATTAAATATATAATTTTGAGAAGTTTCAAACCAGCAAAATCTCAGGAATGGGAGGAGTCCACCTACTTGGATGAGGGGAAATTGACTGAAATGGGCATGTTTTTATTAGTGTTGACAACATTTTAAGCCATGTACAAAATTAGGTAAAACGTGTTTGGGACTTGCGTCTCTTGTCAAAAACGTTAGTCCCAAACGCGTTTTTTTTTTTTCATTACTTAACGTGAAACGTACGTGGCACTTGCGTTTCACGTAGCATACGAGAAATACAAGTGTCATTTGTGTCTCTCGTCCGTAGACTTTAAAGGGCATATTCTTATGCCAGCATGCACTCAAAAGAAAGTCAGGACTCACATGCTCAGGTCTTAACAGAGATTTAGCATGAGAGAAAGAAAACAAATCGTCAACAGCTACCCGTCAAATAGGCTTATCAAATCAACGTGTCCATACCAATAGAACTATAATTTTTAAGAGACTCCTTTTGTACTAGGTAAGCAATTACAATTATTTGTATTTTTTCCATAATAGAGTTTCAAAATAATTTAATTTAAGATCTAATTAATTCTAATCTATATATTCTAAAATTTAACTATTTGATTTAAACAATAGTACTGAATTATTTGTGTAAGGGGTAATTTGAAAAAAATAAAAATAAAAAATATATTTATAAACTAAATAATTTGAGAAAAAAAAAAGTATACGGGGTAATTTAGTCAAAATTATAACAAAAATATTTTGACCACTAAAGAGGTTTAAAAGATTTGTTAATTAACTCTATACACCACTATTATTAGTGTAAGGGGTAATTTGGTAATTTTTAAAATATTTATCAACTAAAGAATTTGAGTTTTTTTTATTATCAATTTAGACTATGAAATTAAAAATTTTGATAAAATCAATGTCGAACTCATAACCTCCTAATACAATTAGACCACATAGTCTTGATATTTATATTATCTATCTTTTTTTTTTTGAAAATATCTATCTATTTGTCTATACATATATAAAAGCAAAATATTCTACTAAAAATAGAATATAATGTCATATTTTTCGGACCAAAGATACATTGAAAGTTGTGACAACACTTTTTTTTTTTTTTGAAAACGTGACAAAACTTAAAATTTGTAGGGAAAATGACACTTTTCCCCCATGAGTTATATACTTATAGAACTTTTTCCTCTTGAATTATTCATGTAAGCATATTAGCCTCTTCAATTATTTTAATAGTGGTGGTTTTTCCCTCTGATATATTAAATTGACAATTTTACCCTTAAAATAAATATTTTATTTATTTTTTTTCTCCAACAAATTATTGCGTATATGTAGGGATGACCACGGTTCGATTCGAATTGAACCGGACACTATATCAATCAAATTAAAAGTTTCCGGTTATGATTCATATCCATAACCCAATATTTGGATTTTAGTATTACAAGTATGAATCGGAAAAACTGTATCCTGAATTGTGAACCGGCGGTTCTGGATTCGGTTCGCGATTTTGAACCGTCTTTATTTTAATTTTTTTATTTTAAAATAGTCTAAATTCAACAATAAATGTATTTTATTTTTTCAGTTCGGAACATGAACCGGCCGTCCTGGTTCGCGATTTTAATAAGCTCTAAATATCGGGTTTCGATTATAAATTGTAATTAGAATATTTCGGTTTGGTTGCTATAGTGTTTGTTTGGTTTGAACCAAATTGTGATCATAATTTGTTGGAGAAAAAAAATAAATGAAATATTTATTTTTAAGGGTAAAATGTCTATTTAACATTTCAGGGGAAAAAACAGCCACTTGAATAATTCAGGAGGAAAAATGCTATAAGTATATAACTCAGGGGGAAAATTGACATTTTAATTTCCCAAATTTGTATTTGAATCGTCTGACCAGCAATAATAAATATATAGGCCCTGTTTGCTAAAAAATTGGCCTATAGGCCAATTTTGGCTTATTTGACCACTATTATATTAATTGTTTAATTTAATTAAAATATCAATATGAGTGTTTGATTAATTAGCTTTTTGCAACTCCAAAAGGTTAAAATTCAAAGAGCTACTCCAAACAACTTTTTCAATTAGATTTTTGAGAAAAGAAATTATACCAAACAGAATTTACCAAACACTTTTCTACAATCAGTTAATGTTATCAACTATTTATACCCTCTAATTAACACAATCAGCTAACATATAACAACTATCAGCTAACCGTCATTTAATCAAATAGGGCCATAGTAATTAATAATTAGTTGGGAATTGGTTTGGCTGTTACAATCTCCCATATTGAATTGGAGAAATAAATTTTATTGGGAAGGTGTAAATTTAATTCAAAATCAAGCTTACAAATATATAACTTCTAAAATCCTTCTGTAATACAAATATCTGCATCTGGAACGATAATCTAGAGCAACTCACACAAAATACAAATAAACACTTCCAGGCTAAAAAGAATCCATAAATTATAAATTGTTGAGTTGTTGGTGAACGATGTACAACAATGGCTTATAGAGTTATAGAGTGTCCCATAGGTTTTCGAACGATATATGTTAGTTTTGAGAGATTTGTTCCCAACAAATTGAAGGAGCATCTATTATTGGTGCAACATGATGAATGAATGTGATGTGGCTTGGAGGTTTCCAGTTTGACAATCAAGTATAACATGTTTGACAGGGTCGCTAGCTACCTTCTTGAACAACTAAATAAACCGGAGCAGAGATGGAGATGGAACACCGACAGCCGGAACCTGCATCGCCTGAAGGAGGAAGCAGCGGTGGCCGAATCCAGCATCGCCTGAAGGGGGGGAGACAGTAGCGGCGAGCCAAGAACCCAGCCAACCTCTGCTGTCTCTCCTTGTCACGACACCAACGCCGACGCTCGTCGACGTCCATCACGTAGTGCCACGGATCCCATTCGTCCGACTGGAGCTTGAGGAGCAGCGACAACCCTTTGCCGGCGTCGCCTGAAGAAGAAGAGGGAGCAGCGACGTTTCAGCGACTGGTGCACCCCCAACTTCGCCGCCGTCCTGTATAGTCGCGATGCGATCTCTGGTTCACAACCCTCTTCGAACGCATGGTTTAATGGCGTCACAACAATTGGCAATTGTCAACGTACGACTGCCACGCCGAAGCTGACTGCATTGGACGCCGGTCACTCGCTGCCTCAATCGGACGCCCAGGACTCGAACCGACGATTTTGCTTCCTCCGTTCATCTTCGGAGCCGTTAACATCTTTTATTCCGAATTCTAACCAAAAGGTCTCCACACTTTGCACCTACGGTGGATCTGAAAAGGATAGCCTTGGTATGTGCATGTTCGGTGAGTTGTATGTCTATTTGTAAAGAAAATGACTGTGGTATTACTTGTATATACATTATTATGTTTAGGGTATTATTAGCTGTATAATACCATATTCTGATATAAACTGCACATGAATATGTATAAGTACTGTCTCTTTTTGTAGAATTTTTAAAATAAAAATTAAATTTTATAAATGTATGCATTGTTGTGCCCATATCTTGAATTTATAATTTTTCATTATATTGTATGATACTATATCATATTATATGTTATAGTTAGCTTAAATTTTAATTTCCCATTGATACTGGAAGATATGAAAGCCATAATTTTAATTTTTGTTGAACTCATTTTTATAAAATATTCCGAGCTTTATTTGTGAAGTAGTCTTTTGGTATAGTTGCTTTTTAATATTAAACCATGAACTGAATGTATGCTTCCAGTTTAATACATGGTTTGAAATTTTCAAGATCATAAAGTGACTCAATTAATACATGGTGTTCAGGAGTTTTCTTTTATTCAACTTCCAATAAATGGATTTTTTTCTTGAGTTTCTATAATTCAATGCGGAGATTTATTGTTTCTTTAACAATCATCAGAATGTGCTACTTTGTGCTGTTTATTTATTTCTTTTGTATACAATAGTGTGAATTTGATTTCTCTGTCTACTTAACAACCGGAAGGTAGGTCCATTTGTGTGTGGGCAAGTGCAAATCTTTCATTTTTGTTCTTTCCAGTTTTTATTCTTTTGGGATTACAGCCGAAATGTTGATATACATTTTTTTTTTTTGGTGTGCTTGAAACAGCTGCAGCATGCATGGAGCCACTTGACACTGCAATCATCCAGACGACGGGTATAGTGAGTTGATTTTTTTTTTAAAATTTGCATGTGCTTTACCGTATGCATGACTTTTTGAGGTGCTTTTATAATATATTATTTTCACCCTTCAATTTTATATTCTTTATTCACCATAGTCCATACAAGTTGTAAGGACCATATTTTGTCTACTATAAAATAATGTACATTCAGTACAAAAATAATGTACATTATATTTAGAGGATGTA